TTCAGGACTGTAGCAGCTACGACCTTGACCTTTCAGGACTGTAGCAGCTACGACCTTGACCTTTCAGGACTGTAGCAGCTACGACCTTGACCTTTTCGTGTAAACCAGCGGTCGTCCTCTGGTTCCTGAAAAGCGAACCTAACCTTATATTGTTTCTGTGGGCGACCCCTACCTCCGGTTCTGAAGACATCTTCACCTACGATGCCGTCAATGTCATACCTTCCATCCATGTCCGGCGGGATCATGGACCTCCGTGATGGAAACTGTCGACTTGTGGTACAAGGCAACAACTTTGACACATGGAACACCGGGTAGGTGTGGAGGTGCGCTGGAATCTCGACTGCGTAGGACGGTCCATCCTCTCCGCCCTTGACTTCTAAGACTGGCCACGGTCCTCGGTATGCAGGTAGTACTTTTGTGAGATGTTCTCCTCAGGAACAAATTCTTATAGTTGTATCTACAGGACCTAGATTATCTACAAGTTCTCCTAATACATCAAAAATACGACCTAAAGTAGTTTCACCTACAGGTACACTCAAAGGTGCTCCTCTATCAATTACTTCCATCCCTCTCATAAGACCATCAGTAGCACTCATAGCTACTGCTCTTACTTTATTGTGTCCTAAAAGTTGTTGAACGTCATAAGTTACATCTATGAAATCCCCTGAAGCATTTTCACCTTTGACAGTCAAACAGTTATAAATATTAGGCATTTGTCCTGGCAGACTAAGTCGCCTACTTGGAACTGTGATGGGCGACGGTGCTTATTGGCTTGCTCTATCATTCTATGCTGAGCTTTCCTGAGGTTCTTTGTGACGGTAGCAATCTCCTTTTCATAGTGTAGTGCAAACTCCCTAGTATCGAGTGGTAGCCTTTGAATCTGGTCTCAGTCCTTCAAACGGTCTACGTGGTCTAAAGGACTTGTGTAACTCGTTGGGAGCGCGACAAGTCGCCAAGTGCATGATGTTATTGTACGTGCTGGCTACCTTGGGAAGCATCTCATCCCAGTTAAGTTGATCAGGTCTGATATACATTTTGAGAACTTGTTGCAGGATTTTGTTCATCTGTTCAGTCTGACCGTTAGTTTCAGGATGACGGCCATATGACATCAACAACCTAGAGCCATAGACTCTCATCAACCCCTACCAGTTCTGACTAGTGAACCGGGTATCTCTATCGCTAACTATAGACAGCGGTAACCCGTGATCACTGACCCAATGGTTGAGAAACTTTTGTATAACTAAATTTGTACGTGCCTTTGAAGGCAAGGGAACAAAACTGCATACTTGCTAAATCTATCCACTATAACCATGACTTGGCTCTTGCCATGGCTACTCTTGACCCCTGCATCCATAAAGTCGATGGACACAGAATCTCCGGGCCCATCGAGAATCGGCAAGGGTCTGAGAAGACCAAGAGGGGCTCGCGTAGTGGTCTTATTTCGCTGGCACACCTTACAACTGCGTACATACTCTATGCAGTCGGCCTTCATACCAGGCCACGTATATGCATCATAAGGTTGGCAAATGTCTTCTGCCAACCAAAGTGTCCCTCTGTGTCGTGACATTCCTCTAGGATCAAACTACAAATTTCCTCGTTGTTGGGGACGCATAGACGATAAGCTACGTTAGTCTTCTCAAATAGTAACCCATCAGTAGTGCGGTAATCTGGTTCGGTCTTTGGGACCCCCTTCACTCTCTTGAGGAGGTCACTATAAATAGGGTCCTGCGCATATGCCTCTTTGACTTTCTGTTGCAGGTCTCTCCCTATATCCAGATAGTGAACTATCGCTCCAAAGTAATCAGCTCTTCTGCTTGGAGCGTCCGCGACAACATTATACTTCCCTTTAACCGGTTCTACATTATACTTCCCTTCAACCGGCTTGAGCTCAAAGTCAAACTGATCTATTTTTGTGGCCCACCTAGTAAGCTTAGGTGTCATCTTGGCCTGTCTTCAACCACCTCAGCGTCTCGTGGTCTGAATACACTTTGAAGTGTCTCCCAAGCAAGTAGTGCTTTCAATGGTCTAGTGCTTGCCTGAGAGCGTAGAGTTCCCTCTCATAGGTTGATATCGCTACCTTCTTTGAGGGCATCCTAGCAGACATGAACTCTACGGGTATATATCCATTGCCATCGTCTTGCTGTAAAACAGCGCCTATGTTGTACTGACTTGCGTCAGTAGTAACAATGAAAGGCAGGGACGAATCGGCCACCTTGAGGACTGGGTACTCTATCAAAGCCCGCTTCAACTTTTTGAGGGCCGATGTACAATTTTTGTCCCACTTCCAAATCGCCTCTTTCTTTAGCAATATGCGAAGAGGTGCAGCGATAGTAGAAAAGTTCCTAACGAACTTTCTATAGTAA